CTGTGGTGGCCCGAAAAAACATTTTTTAAAAAAAAAAAAAAAAAAAAAAAAAAAAAAAATAAGCTTTACAGTAAACAAAAATGCCCATCAAAAAGTATTATATATACTTGCCTTATCCTCAGCGTTTCCCTGCAGAGCTTAGGCCCTGGGAATGTGGAGTATCTAAAAACAAGCTAGAAGACAATCCTGTACTGTGTTGGAGCATCCTCTCACAAGATTTGGGGTACTCAGCGGAATCAGCAACCCCCCCCCTAATTCCTGTATTAAAAATGAATGGGGAAAGGTGAGTATATGTCCCTTTTTTTAGAGGCTGCAATATGTAATGAGGGAGGGGTCTAGTGCGGCTTTCTTTTTGAATGCCACATTATATTTAAAGCTGAACTAGGCACTCAGCTTTAGCTAGGCGCGGTCAGTTATCGCACCAAGTAGCCATTCCAAATATGCTGCCTGGCGCGGAGTGTCAGCTTGAGGTGAGGTTGGCTGGAGGTAGGGCCACGAGGGAGCTCCATCCATAAGTGCATTGCTTGCAGCTCCCTCATGTGCCCTGTAGAGGTGCCTTAGATTTAAGACTCTGTGTCCTCTCTTTTTCTATTTCAAAAGGGAAATAGAAGGGGGGCTGTTTAGACCCCTGATATTTCCCCAAAGCCCATAATCATCAAGTTAAAAATAAAAGTAAAAAATTATTGGTAAAATTTAAAAAAGTTCAAAGAACAAAAAGGAGAAAAAAAAAGTAAATTTTTGGTTTCGGCTGACATTTAGAAATTTCAGTTTGTCTAAAAATTTAATTTCGGTGCATCGCTAGTTACAACCTATACCAATAAGGAAACAGCAATGAAAGCCTAACAAGGTTTCCCCATTCTATACCAAACGAGTTTTAGCCAGTGAACTACTTTGGGCAATTGGTGTCCTTTCGGTTACAGCTAAATAGGATATTTAGGCTGCCACTGGAGAATCACAAGTTTTTAAAAAAAATGTATATATAATACCGGTATGAGGACTCCTCAAGCCTCGTTCACACAGGGCAATCTGGGATTCCTGCAGCAGGAATCCCGGTGTTCTGATTAGATGTGGCTGCTGTGCAAGTTAATAACAGGTGACAGCATCTGCAATTGTATATATGATATCCTGTGTCCGGCGACAATCATCTATTCCAAACCGAATGTATGATTATTCTGGACTGCCGCTTACAGATGTGGCCGCTTTCACGATGACATTAACGTCTATGGGTTTGCCAGCCGCATCTGAATGGAAACACCTGGCCTCTTCCTGCTGCAGGAATGCCAGATTCTCCCCCCTCCCCCTGAACAAGGCCTAATACTATAATACTCAACCAATTCAGCACTGGTTCTACAGTTATTCAAAATATTCACAAATAAAAATCAGAAAAGGTGTAATTTTAAACATTGCAGATAATTGTATCAAGTTCACAGACCTGTTAAATTATGCCACACATTTAGAGTCTTTCCATTGTGCTCAGGAAGTCCTTAGAAGGGATTAAAAACTGGTATATTTCAGCACACATTTATTAAATAAAAGTTTATTTGACATATTTTCCCAAAACAAAAAGGCAACTTCACATCTGTATAAAAAACACTTTCGTAACAACCTTTTGTGTAAATGGAGGTGAGAAATAGATTACCAAAATATTTGGAATCCTGTTTGGATGTGGTAGCTTGTCAGTGACATAAATAAACAGTCTTGTCCATGGCTCTCAGGGAAAGGCTGTAATTGAACAGAAGCCATTGCAGATTGTGTCCTGTTCTGCTTACTCCGCAGTGTTCGAACCAGTGTCTGAAAAAAGAAATCAAAGTTGACAGGTAACATTTCATTCTCCAACTGGTAATAGACAGCAGGGGGAACAATGGCAATGTTCCAAAATCCTACTGTCGAGATAAAGAATAGCAGCGGAACGACAACTTGAGTGCGGGAATATGCTTATCCATGGCATGAATGCGTTACAAATGATAGCAGAAGATATAGAAACGGTTTGTAAGTTGACTAAGAAAGTGGAGGAATTAAAATTTTCATACATGAAAAGAAAAAAAAATGTGCTGCAGGCCTTACATTTACTTGAAGAATAAGTGTGTGCGAGACAAACAGGACAGCAATTGAACTTTGGCCTTAACATGTTTTCAAGTTCACATAACACACAAGTAGGCATTTGGGTTATGGTAGGTCAAAATCTGATGAAGGTCTTGAGCTTCTACTAAACAGTGGATTGGAAAACAAGCAGGTACAGGTAAATAGCTGCACTTATAGCGTAATACTAACAGATGTGGTTTACCAGAAATTCTTCTTTAAACCAAATATGGCGTGAAAAAAGGATAAAAAAGCTAAATGTTTTATTACCAATAGCTGTATCGCATTGGCAAGCGCTTTCGGGGCCTCGCAGAGTCCCCTTCATCTCTAAGCCTTGCAAGGCCCCAGAAGCGCTTGCCAATTAGATACAGCTATTGGCAATAAAATATTTTGCTTTTTCAACTTATGGTGTGCTGGTGACATTTTTCTATAGTTACCCATTGCACACCTAAATCCTTAGAGAAACCCTGATCTGTACATATAGAAATTCCAGGGTCAAGACCCTTGCCCTACCTCCTAAGCCTCAGTGCTTGCCCCTCTCTGTGACTCCACTGGTTCACCAGTAGAAGTGGGACCAAAGTCTCAACGCAGGGAGCTTAACAAATTTGTAAATATTCAGCGCACCCGATGTAATGATTCCCTATTGTGTTCTAATGGACACACATTCCTTATTGGCCAACGAGGCAGTCCATTGTAGTAGCAGGCCAGTAAGACTGTGGGAGAAAGTGGACACTACCTGGAACTTTGTCTGTTCAGAATGGCCAACATTAAGGCATTGCTGAGGGGAATGACAGCTTCCAGAGGAACAGGAGGCTCCTAGCAGCTTGTTCTCCCCAAAGCCAAACTATAACATATTCCACCCTATTATGGAACATTGCTAGAGGCAGTATCACCCAATCTATCTATCTAAATTTGAATTCTAAAGTGCATTTTGTTTAACTTTTTTTTATTTAGGTTTCGAAATATAAGCCTCTGTATGATTTAAGTCCATCCATTAAAAAAAGAAATATATGCATGACCATTATAACAAACTTACTTTTCCCATCGCAAGCTACGATTTTTACTTTATCCACCTTCACCAAGTCAGTCACTTCTCTGAACTCTACATCATTGAGAACAAAGGTCCAGACGTTATCACAAAACCGATATGTATTTAATGAACCCTTAAGAAAAAGCAAAAGATAAATGAGTCGACAGATGTATTTTGCCAAAAGCAAATGGACAAATTAAACTGTAAAACCACAATGAAAAGAAACAGAAAATCTATGCTCCTAGCATACAGTAATAAATGTATGCCACGTCCACAGCACTGTCAAAAAAACAACACTTGATTATGGTGTCTGGTAGGTATTATAGCTGCAAGATTATGTACATTTGGATATGTAAAGGTATATCAAACTCCACCAAGTTCATGGATTTACAGGAGTCTTCCTAGAGTTCTGCCTAAACCCCTGTTCACACAGAACTGCAGGTTTTTTTTTTTTTAAACATCACATCGTACCACAATGTATGATTATAGTTTGCTATGCAGTATGGTGTGATACAACGCACATGTGATGGCTAAGTATGTTGGGGTGCCATTAGGAACTTAACATTTCCAACATACGATCTTGTGCGATACATGACTGTGAAGGAGGATCATATGAACGAGGGCTAAGAGAAAACCTTTGATGCTTTCATATCATTAGGGGAACACCAATGCATCCTCCTCCTAAAGGCTTACGCTCGTCCTGCATTCATTATGAAGATCCAGGTCCTGCAAATTTTCTTCCATCCTAGGTGAAATACTGTCACTTCTGCCCCTCTATTCCACTTACTCACTCACTCAGGAAAACTAGTCTTTCAATTGTTAACTAATGTAATGCAGTCAGGCATTAAACTTTGGGTAGAAAAAGCTAAATGCAAGGACTATTTACAATTCTGAAGTGCGGTGCAAAGGTCACACACCTCACAAATGCAAAAGATAGCACGTTGGTTATTTGGCCACAGTTATAGACTACTACAAAAAAAACTCAAGGCAAATACAGTCAACTCCCCGTTATCCAGCACCCACGGGGATTGGTAGATGCCGGATAACTTTAGTCTCTGGTTGCTTGAGAGTTAATAGTAACTCAGCAACTCTCAAGCAACCACCCCCTCCACAGCAACCCCCACTAACTTCCGCAGACAGCAGCCTGCTTCCCTATTTATAATGGTCTGGCCCTCTAGCAACTTCAGCGTGAAATTATAGCTAATTATAGCGAATTTGCCTACAAACGTCAGGTGGTCATAATAATCTGGCCACTCAGTGTAGAGCTGAAAATCACTTAGGAATTAAAGATCATTGTGACATATTAGACACGTGTAATAGCTTACTGAACTGGCACGACAACCCAGCAAATATAAAAAGGACATTCTGTAATGAAAAGCAGTGAACAGCATTTATAGCAAATGTGCTCCATCTACTGGCTCAATTCCTGAATGAACATTACACTGGCTATAAAAATTCTGCAGATAGTCATTGCCGTTCAATTTACATTTTAAAGTATAAGTAGTAGATATTTTTTCGCAGATACACTATATTACCAAAAGTTTTGGGACGCCTGCCTTTACACGCACATGAACTTTAATGGCGTCTTAGTCTGTAGGGTTCAATATTGAGTTGGCCCACCCTTTGCGGCTATAACAGCTTCAACTCTTCTGGGAAGGCGTCCACAAGGTATAGGAGTGTGTCTATGGGAATGTTTGACCATTCTTCCAGAAGTGCATTTGTGAGGTCAGGTACTGATGTTGGACGAGAAGGCCTGGCTCGCAGTCTCTGGTCTAATTCATCCCAAAAGTGTTCTATCGGGTTGAGGTCAAGACTCTGTGCAAGCCGGTCAAGTTCCTCCACCCCAAAATCTCATCCATGTCTTTACGGACCTTGCTTTGTGCATTGATATGCCGTCATGTTGGAACAGGAAGGGGCCATCCCCAAATATACAATGTCTGGGGAATTTAAGTAATTTTCAGACCTAAAATGTGGAATATAACATTGGTGCAAAAAATGCGAAAAAAAAAGGCCTCAGTCATGAAGGGGTTAATTTCCCAAGAGTTCTGCCATCCAGTCCCACATAGCTTCTAAAGGCGATTTACATCTGTTTATTACTTTACTGTGGTGTTTACATCCAAATATAATCATTATAGTTGTTACTCATGCAGATTGCCCACTGTTGCTATTTCACAGGTTTTATGTTTGCTGCAACACTGTGACATCTGGTCTCAACCCCACTTACTAAATCCATAAGGACTCATGCACATGGATGCAAAAAAAAACCCACAGTGTGCAGCTCTATTAAATCCAATGTGTCCATACACATGTGAGTTTAGCTACACTTACTAGAGCAGCATTTAGAGTTGTAATACCGAAAAGTCCAGAATTCTGGGAAGAGTGCTGAAGTGTACATGCGCATAGGGTATAGAGCAAATGCATTCTATTGGATCTGCCTGCCTCCTAGCAATGAAGGACGCTGGGCGGCAGAAGCTAGGAAGCAGTGGACATAAGCTGCCTAGCATTGTTCGTGGTTAGGAAACAGATAGGACTTTTTGCCACAGCCCCTGTCAACCTGTAAAAAGTGTGTCATCAGTGGGCACTGCCGCTGCTGGTTACACACAATAGATGTTTACATCTTGGATCTGAATGAACAAGCCAATTAATGTTGCGGGGCCAGTCAATCTCTGCATGTGTGGCTGAGCTTAAATAACTCATTCATTCAGGGCCAACATGTAAGCATTGGAAGGTGGAGCCAGCATGGTTTACAGAGTTGCAGTCCCC